AAATTGTATTTTTCGTTCAGACATGGCTCGATGGACTCGCCTGTTAATGCTGATCACAAATATATATGATTTATGGGGTCGGAAATGTCTCCTTCACTGCGTTACAGGCTTCTGACTAAAAGTAAAATACCGTTTTTGAGACAATATTTATCACTATTTTATGATAATTTTTTTCTACTAATCAAAGTTTAAAAAATGCATTACTAAGTCAAAAATGCATTAATTTTAGTTCGGAAAGCTTTTCTGTGTTCGTTATTATTAGGTTAACAATCTGCATACTCAATTTTTAATTTAAAAATCTTAAGTGACTGAAATTTTATTACCAATCTGTCAGCCAATATTTATCTATATTTTTATATGACATTTTTTCTACAAATCAAAAACTAAAAAACTCATAACTAAGCCAAAAATTCATTAATTTCAATTCGGAAAGCCTTTCTGTGTTAGTTTTTACAGCGCTAACAAGTCTGCATACTTCGTTTTAAGAGTTAGAAAATTCAATTTTTTGTCAATTTTGCAAATTTTAATGATGTAACCCCTTATAAAAATTTCAAATTTTCGACAAATTTTGAAAATTGTATTTTTCGTTCAGACATGGCTCGATGGACTCGCCTGTTAATGCTGATCACAAATATATATGATTTATGGGGTCGGAAATGTCTCCTTCACTGCGTTACAGGCTTCTGACTGAAAGTAAAATACCATTTTTGAGACAATATTTATCACTATTTTATGATAATTTTTTCTACTAATCGAAGTTTAAAAAATGCATTACTAAGTCAAAAATGCATTAATTTTAGTTCGGAAAGCCTTTCTGTGTTCGTTATTATTAGGTTAACAAATCTGCATACTTAATTTTTAATTTAAAAATCTTAAGTGACTGAAATTTTATTACCAATCTGTCAGCCAATATTTATCTATATTTTTATATGACATTTTTTTCTACAAATCGAAGTTTAAAAAACTCATAATTATGCCAAAAATTCATTAATTTTAATTCGGAAAGCTTTTCTATGTTCGTTATTATTAGGTTAACAAATCTGCGTACTTAATTTTTAATTTAAAAAACTTAAGTGACTGAAATTTTATTACCAATCTGTCAGCCAATATTTATCTATATTTTTATATGACATTTTTTTCTACAAATCAAAAACTAAAAACTCATAACTAAGCCAAAAATTCATTAATTTCAATTCGGAAAGCCTTTCTGTGTTAGTTTTTACAGCGCTAACAAGTCTGCATACTTCGTTTTAAGAGTTAGAAATTCAATTTTTGTCAAATTTTGCAAATTTTAATGATGTAACCCCTTATAAAAATTTCAAATTTTCGACAAATTTTGAAAATTGTATTTTTCGTTCAGACATGGCTCGATGGACTCGCCTGTTAATGCTGATCACAAATATATATGATTTATGGGGTCGGAAATGTCTCCTTCACTGCGTTACAGGCTTCTGACTAAAAGTAAAATACCATTTTTGAGACAATATTTATCACTATTTTATGATAATTTTTTTCTACTAATCAAAGTTTAAAAAATGCATTACTAAGTCAAAAATGCATTAATTTTAGTTCGGAAAGCTTTTCTGTGTTCGTTATTATTAGGTTAACAAATCTGCATACTTAATTTTTAATTTAAAAATCTTAAGTGACTGAAATTTTATTACCAATCTGTCAGCCAATATTTATCTATATTTTTATATGACATTTTTTCTACAAATCAAAAACTAAAAAACGCATAACTAAGCCAAAAATTCATTAATTTCAATTCGGAAAGCCTTTCTGTGTTAGTTTTTACAGCGCTAACAAGTCTGCATACTTCGTTTTAAGATTTAGAAAATTCAATTTTTTGTCGAATTTTGCAAATTTTAATGATGTAACCCCTTATAAAAATTTCAAATTTTCGACAAATTTTGAAAATTGTATTTTTCGTTCAGACACGGCTCGATGGACTCGTCTGTTAATGCTGATCACAAATATATATGATTTATGGGGTCGGACATGTCTCCTTCACTGCGTTACAGGCTTCTGACTGAAAGTAAAATACCGTTTTTGAGACAATATTTATCACTATTTTATGATAATTTTTTTCTACTAATCAAGTTTAAAAAATGCATTACTAAGTCAAAAATGCATTAATTTTAGTTCGGAAAGCCTTTCTGTGTTCGTTATTATTAGGTTAACAAATCTGCATACTTAATTTTTAATTTAAAAATCTTAAGTGACTGAAATTTTATTACCAATCTGTCAGCCAATATTTATCTATATTTTTATATGACATTTTTTTCTACAAATCGAAGTTTAAAAAACTCATAATTATGCCAAAAATTCATTAATTTTAATTCGGAAAGCTTTTCTATGTTCGTTATTATTAGGTTAACAAATCTGCGTACTTAATTTTTAATTTAAAAACTTAAGTGACTGAAATTTTATTACCAATCTGTCAGCCAATATTTATCTATATTTTTATATGACATTTTTTTCTACAAATCAAAAACTAAAAAACTCATAACTAAGCCAAAAATTCATTAATTTCAATTCGGAAAGCCTTTCTGTGTTAGTTTTTACAGCGCTAACAAGTCTGCATACTTCGTTTTAAGAGTTAGAAAATTCAATTTTTTGTCAAATTTTGCAAATTTTAATGATGTAACCCCTTATAAAAATTTCAAATTTTCGACAAATTTTGAAAATTGTATTTTTCGTTCAGACATGGCTCGATGGACTCGCCTGTTAATGCTGATCACAAATATATATGATTTATGGGGTCGGAAATGTCTCCTTCACTGCGTTACAGGCTTCTGACTAAAAGTAAAATACCATTTTTGAGACAATATTTATCACTATTTTATGATAATTTTTTTCTACTAATCAAAGTTTAAAAAATGCATTACTAAGTCAAAAATGCATTAATTTTAGTTCGGAAAGCTTTTCTGTGTTCGTTATTATTAGGTTAACAAATCTGCATACTTAATTTTTAATTTAAAAATCTTAAGTGACTGAAATTTTATTACCAATCTGTCAGCCAATATTTATCTATATTTTTATATGACATTTTTTCTACAAATCAAAAACTAAAAAACGCATAACTAAGCCAAAAATTCATTAATTTCAATTCGGAAAGCCTTTCTGTGTTAGTTTTTACAGCGCTAACAAGTCTGCATACTTCGTTTTAAGATTTAGAAAATTCAATTTTTTGTCGAATTTTGCAAATTTTAATGATGTAACCCCTTATAAAAATTTCAAATTTTCGACAAATTTTGAAAATTGTATTTTTCGTTCAGACACGGCTCGATGGACTCGTCTGTTAATGCTGATCACAAATATATATGATTTATGGGGTCGGACATGTCTCCTTCACTGCGTTACAGGCTTCTGACTGAAAGTAAAATACCGTTTTTGAGACAATATTTATCACTATTTTATGATAATTTTTTTCTACTAATCAAAGTTTAAAAAATGCATTACTAAGTCAAAAATGCATTAATTTTAGTTCGGAAAGCCTTTCTGTGTTCGTTATTATTAGGTTAACAAATCTGCATACTCAATTTTTAATTTTAAAGACTTAAATGACTGGAATTTTAATACCATTCTGTCAGCCAATATTTATCTATATTTTTATATGACATTTTTTTCTATAAATCGAAGTTTAAAAAACTCATAATTATGCCAAAAATTCATTCATTTTAATTCGGAAAGCTTTTCTATGTTCCTTATTATTAGGTTAACAAATCTGCATACTTAATTTTTAATTTAAAAAACTTAAGTGACTGAAATTTTATTACCAATCTGTCAGCCAATATTTATCTATATTTTTATATGACATTTTTTTCTACAAATCAAAAACTAAAAAACGCATAACTAAGCCAAAAATTCATTAATTTCAATTCGGAAAGCCTTTCTGTGTTAGTTTTTACAGCGCTAACAAGTCTGCATACTTCGTTTTAAGATTTAGAAAATTCAATTTTTTGTCGAATTTTGCAAATTTTAATGATGTAACCCCTTATAAAAATTTCAAATTTTCGACAAATTTTGAAAATTGTATTTTTCGTTCAGACACGGCTCGATGGACTCGCCTGTTAATGCTGATCACAAATATATATGATTTATGAAGTCGGAAATGTCTCCTTCACTGCGTTACAGGCTTCTGACTAAAAGTAAAATACCATTTTTGAGACAATATTTATCACTATTTTATGATAATTTTTTTCTACTAATCAAAGTTTAAAAAATGCATTACTAAGTCAAAAATGCATTAATTTTAGTTCGGAAAGCTTTTCTGTGTTCGTTATTATTAGGTTACCAAATCTGCATACTCAATTTTAAATTTTAGAGACTTAAATGACTGGAATTTTAATACCATTCTGTCAGCCAATATTTATCTATTTTTTTATATGACATTTTTTTCTACAAATCAAAAACTAAAAAACGCATAACTAAGCCAAAAATTCATTAATTTCAATTCGGAAAGCCTTTCTGTGTTAGTTTTTACAGCGCTAACAAGTCTGCATATTTCGTTTTAAGATTTAGAAAATTCAATTTTTTGTCGAATTTTGCAAATTTTAATGATGTAACCCCTTATAAAAATTTCAAATTTTCGACAAATTTTGAAAATTGTATTTTTCGTTCAGACACGGCTCGATGGACTCGCCTGTTAATGCTGATCACAAATATATATGATTTATGGGGTCGGAAATGTCTCCTTCACTGCGTTACAGGCTTCTGACTGCTTCAAGATAAAGCAGGAAAAACTGCATGTTCTAAAAAACATTGGTGGCATCATGCGATGTTCTCGGAGACTGACAAAGAATTGAGTTCTAGTTGGGCCTCAATCATATGGTCAATTATTTGTTAACCAACCTAAATGTTTCAAACTTACCTCGATATAGATTTGTAGCACTAGATCCTGAACTGAAGTTATTGGAAACCGAAGGATGTGGCCCCAGCTCCCGAGGACAAAAAATTCGCAAAGTTCTTATACCCTCAAACTGAATAAAGCGCACGAATAGGGTTAGAACAAGCGGTTTATTCAACAGTAATACTAGCTGCTTTTCCACGAGTAGAGTAAATTAATAAATACATATACATAGTTGCCTAGCTTTCATAAAGCGGCTTTTAGTTGCAGTTAAGTTCAATTAGTATACTATGCGGATAAATTTCCATTTCAGTTAGCCGTCTGCTCAGTAGCTCCCGCATTAATGAAAACCCTCGAGTACAGTGCGTGGGTGGTGGGCTCCTTCTTCTCGGAAGCATTGGTTACCGTGTTCACGTACGTATACTGCATGGCGAAGCCCAGGACCACTTCTGTACTCGCAGGCAGCTCCTCGGCAGGAGTGAACTGCAGCCGGATGAGGACCTTGTTGCCCTTGCGCCACACAATGAACTTGGGCTCCTCGGTGGGAAGCTGCACGTACTCGTCGAACTCTTTGGAGTCGTCGCGTTGGCTGAGCACAAACTCGCTCTCCAAAGGCACAATCTCAGCATTGGACACATCCGCCACCTCGCGCTTCACCTCCCGTGTGGAGTTTTGCCTCGACAAGGTAATGCCTGCAGCTCTAAGCAGTGGGGACGAGGAAACCGGCTCCTCTTTGATGCGGATGACCTCAACAGCGAGTTCGGGTTCTTCGGCCGGAACTGTGGTTAAAAGTCGAATCGTCATATCGTACATTGTCGGATTAGTAAACTTCAGAAGGATGGCGTTGCTCTTGCCAGACGCCAGCGGCTGCTCGCAGCGCACCATTACCACCTCAGGTACATGGCAACTTGCGAAGAGCTGGATGCGGTATTTGATCGATGTGGGATGGTACTCCGGCTTGATAAGGTTGTGCTCACACTGGCGGCAGCGTAGCGATCGCTTTATCCACAGTGTACGCCTCTGTGGGTAGAGGCTGCTTACGGCCGTCGGCTGATCAGCCGGCTGGCTGTGGCGCTGAGCGATCGTCGTTACGTTCCGCAGATTCAACGGTTCAGTGAAGATGTCGGCCGACAACTCCTCCACCTCGGCCGTGGCCTCCGCCGGCGTGATCACAGCCTTAGCTTTGGGAATGCTCTTGTCGTTCCAGCCCATCTGACGGCGAATAAGGGACACCGTCAGACCAGTGCGGTCCGTAAGGCTGGGGAACTTGTGCTGCTTGGGCGTCTTTCGCCGCATAAACTCAATTTTTTCCTGTTTCTCCTGCAGCACCACTGCCTGAAAGTACTCCACCAAGGAGTTGAAGCGCGCCTGGTACAGGCACTCGTTGTCTGGCCAAGTGCCCGTTGCCACGCCCTGGTCTGGAATGCCCGCATCTCGCGAGGTCCAGCGACAGGACAAGCAGGACAGGTAGTACATCTTCTTGGTGGTGGGCACCGCCGAGGGTTTGCTGCTCGCCGGGGTGGGCGGGGTAGATGCTGCCGCAGGAGATTCTACGCCCTCATCTTCAGGTTTTTTAGCGTCCTTCGACTCCTCTGACTTACGCACCACCGGCACCGTGGTCGCCCTGGCCGAGAGCGTGTGCTGGCAGCAGGGACAGTCAAAACAGTTGGCACAGCAGTTCTTCTTGTGCCGCGCCTCCGTGGACGGTATATTCTCCAGGCAATTGGAGCAGAAGTGGGATTCGATTTCGTGTGTCACACAATAGCCGCAGCGCAGCTTCGGGCAGTGGCGGCAGAAGAAGAGCTTGTTGATCGGGTTCAGGATGCCGCAGGAGCACGCGTACTTCACGGGACTCGGTTGCATAAAGCTCATCTTGAACGCAAATTTCTTTTCTTTATTGTAAATTTGCAAATTTTCTCCTTCTTCCACGAATGACGAAAGCAGTGTGCTCGCAGCTCTCTCTGCTTAAAATACCATAACGACTTAACAAAGCGGATGGAAAAGGTACAAGCTGGTCACACCTTTTGTACCGGAAGTGGTCTTTACGACAGGAAATCCTTCAATATTAAAATACAAAGACCTTCAGGGCAGAATTATAATACTGAAGGCAAAAACTATCATACAAGTACTAAATGAGCAATAAAATATTAATTGTTATTATTTTCGATTTTATTGGCAAAGAACGCCCAAGACTATGCAATAATTTGACTCTGGTACCAGTAACTATGGTGATTAAAGGACTATTTCTCATAAAAATTAAGCAAGAAAGACAACGCTAAATAAAAAAAAAAAAGGGGGATAACAAATATATATTAAATAAAGAACTTCACAAGAAAACGAAATAAATCGAAATACAAAGGTAGGTAGGAGGTATTAAGTAATTTTCAAAACAATCTATGTTATAGCAGGACGGAAAGTTTAAAGTCCTTGGCAAATTTGGCTAAGCCCGGAAATTGACAACATTTTGTTGGATCTATTTCAATTAGCTTATGTTAACTTTTTTGTATATATCAAAAGATATCCAAATTGAAGATTTTTCGATGTATTATTCAAAAGTAATTTATTTTACCGCAGACTACAATTGATTATTATGGCTTACGAATGTTCTATTTTAATTGTTCACATCATCCCAAATGGTTTATTATACATGGTTTAAAAGAAGCCCAAGAATAAATACTATTTTGATTTTTATAAATCGGCTAAGTGGTCAATTAGCACCGAATCGCCAAATGAAGTAGACACTTTATGGATGATCGGATTCCATATGCCGCCTTTCATTTAAAAGTGTAGGAGTGATAAGCGACAGCAAATGCTATCTGGTAAAGAGTTACTAAAATGTAAAGTATTTGTTTATTGGAGATTGAACTGAATCAACACCTTGACTGCGGATAACCGACTAAATTCGGCTGAGGGAGCAAAGACTTTATAAAATATTTCAATCACTAGTAAAACTGTACATTACAAACTCGAAGGCTTTGTGTCGCCATTTTTTTTTTTAATAACTTTTCGTTTTAATTCAAATTTCACGATTCCAGCTCGCGTGGCCAAAGTTTCGGGTTGCAACCGCTCAAATAATTATTTAGTTAAGACATTTTTTCATGAATACGGTAATATGTTTGTATATTTAAAATGTTTTGAGTATATAAATATATATTTTGGTCAGCGTATTAAATAGGTAACAGTATAAGGTACTTTGGTGTGCGAGCCACGCGAATTCTAAAACTAAGCTCTATACTAATCATCCTCAGTCTGTACTCTCAGTCCCGGCAGAAGGACCAGCACCGTCTAGCCGAAGAAGTTGGGCACGAAAAGCTTCTTGCGCTTGGTCTTGGTCTGTCGGACGCGAACAATGGGAGTGAACTTGACGTTGTATGGCAGTGCGGCGCCGTTTTGCGGGCTTGAATCCTCGCGGCGGGTATTGGTCCCGGCACTGGATGAGACGGGTGCGATGTAGCCATCGTCCACGTAGTAGTAGCCTGGGTTCAACTTCTTCAGGCGGTTTTCTGTCAAGGGTTTCCCATAAGTGAGGGCGTACGAGCTGCCGCTGTCATAGCGATCGGTATCATATGCCTCGTAGCTATCCAGGTCATAGTAGGTAGGTTTGGCCGCGGTCTGGGACACTTTGCAGATAATGATGCTAACCAGCAGGCAGACCCAAGAGTACAATTGCTGAGGGGAAAGCGGTGGGTGAGCTTAATTCTTTTAAAGATCTCTGTATAAGCGATGCTTACCTTAAGATCCATGGTGTGTATGTTTGTTTCGGTCTGAACTGGTTATAATTTCTAAAATCCGTTGAAAGGGAAAGGTTGAGGTATTATCCTTTGGTTGTTGGCTTTGCCGTTTGCTGTGATTGCTCTGAACGTCTGGCGAGTTCTGTGTGCTGTTTTGCGAAGAACCCTTCCTTTATATACGCACTCGTCCCCATATTCGCACCCAAATGTGAAAATTTGCTTTCGGGCCGAGCCGACGGATGCTCCGGGCTGTGACGCAAGTCCGGAGGAAACGCAGCGACATTTTCGACGTCCCTCCAACTCTCTTTCGTTGACGCCATCCAATGTGTCGTATGTGTTTGGCTTTTGCGCATGCGGGGCTGCTGTGACTTTAATTTCGAGTTGGATCGGATCGGAGATCTCTGCGGTGGGCTGTTGTCTTATCTCCATGGGATTCCATTGGACGAAAGGCTCTAATTGCCGGGTGCAGTGTTTCTGTTAGCGTGGCCGGGGGCCAGTTTGATTCGGAAAAGTTTTTACAATGCGGAAAGATACACGGACCCCCAAAATTCCCATTGTCTGCGACTATTTTGTTTTGATTTGACTTAATTAATTATTTCATTTTTAGGTGCTCTGACGTCTACGGTGGAGTGGATAGCGGACTGGACGACAATGACGTAGATGGAGACGGCAGCTAGAGGGCAAACGAAAGTAATTAGGTGGGCTTTTGGATGGAAAGGTTTGCGGATTTTGGCACACGGCGTTTGTTGTACCAGGCGCTGTGGTCCCCGGGTGGTAATTTTTTTGTGGTCACACGCTATGTCTAAATTCAGACTCCGAATGTCGTTGTAACGAAATTCGTCGCTTTTATCAGTAATCAGCATAGACACGCAAATAAGCCGAAGTCTATAAATACAGTTCAGACTTTAAAAATATCCAACCGCATGGGTTCATGCGATGGTTAATCAATTCGTCGTGAAAAGTGTCTGAGTCAGGAAGTGAGAAATACCGCAATTTTCTAGAAAAAAATTATTCGACACCGGGCGCAGTAAAATAATTAACAAATACCCTCGGCCCGGCAGAAGCTGCGGTCAGTGCTTAGAATAAGGCTTCGAAAAGGGGCATGACTTTAGTTTATGGGGCTTGCACTCAAAGATGAATCAGACTGCGAGGCTTAGATACTAGTCACTAGTGTAACAAATCGTTAATCAGCCGAAATTGAGGAAAAGACCTGCGCTTGGACCCAAAACTAATTCACACTTCATTATCCCCATCAGCGGCTTTGGTTTCGAAAAGTCTCTGGCGTAAATATAAACCCGCTAATCAAATGAATTTATACAATTATATAAATATAAATGCAAAGTAGACGCCGCCGCGGCGCGGCAAAACCAAAATAATCAGTTGTTTTCCACAACTCCACCTTTTTCCATGACACCCCAACGGGGGGTAAATATTTTTGCACACCCAAACATCGTCAACAATAACAGAAAGGTGCGAGATTTGCCCAAGATAAAGAAAACATAAACAATCCAGTTGGAATCAGATCGCATTACGTATACGCACGATTGGCAGCTGCATTGGAGCAGCTCGGCGCAGCAGCTGCTTCTGACTTTTGATTGAGAGCTCGTCAGCGGAGGCACGTTCCTTTCGGCACGTTTTCTTTCGCCCCCGCTCAGCAGAAAGTCCGCGAAACTTGAAAGGCGGTGTCAAATTTCATATGCCTCGGCTAATTCATGCAAGAAGTGTGACAAACTTCTTGCAGGCCGTCCGCTCTTTGGTCGCGGATCGCAAACCTATCATCTGCTTAGAAAATTTCCTCAGACTTGATTTCTTTGTTAGCTCAATGTGCGAATGTAAACATCTAAATTTGCGCCCAGCGATATTTGAATATTGATCATGGCACATTATCCGTTTATTTAATTGCCACTTTTACCCATTTCGACCTGGTGTGACTTGGGGGAATACAAAGCGTTATGGAAATTTTTACGTCTGCCACCTAGAGGGATCAATGGATCTCCCTTGTTGATGTTGATGTTTTTCTCGGGAAGTGCAAAGCTCAGCTCGCCAAAATGGGCTGTTTCTTAGTGTTGATGTACACTGCAATATTAATAGAATTTATTGCTTGATTGAAAATAACTTTAATCGAAGCATTTAACCCAATGAAAGTTCATTAATTTGTTTAGCAAGCAGCCTGGCCCAATATGGAGCAGATATTGGTGGGTTTTATTATGCCTGTTATTGGATTTATGACCGCGGCGAAGGCAAACATTTGAGAGCCGTGCAAAATTCTTGATCTCCTAACCGAAAAGTCAAACACTAGGAAAAACAAGGGAACTCTGGGCAAGGTGTGCAAATATTTAGCTGGTAAACGGTTGTTCATATTTACTTATGATAATGCCAAATACCAGCAGGCCTCATATTTGCTACGCTCGGTTGGTTCCGCTGGCACGATCGATCCATTAACCTCTCCGGAGCGATTGCTCCCACCACGCTGTCCCATATTGCGCTGGCCGGAAGAGGAGGATCGACCGAGCCAGCTTGTAACGGCCTTGGACAAGTGCTTACAAATAAACAGCTAAAGCGCCGCACTGACTGACTTCCTTGTTGACAAAAATAGTTTGAGGAGTGACTCGAATGTGCGAGCGTAGGCCTCATATTAGCAACAAATGTGTGAATAGGAGCCCATAAAATGGGATGCGATATAAGGGGCTACGTTGCCACACCAAGGGTTAAATTTAGAGTACTCGGAAAAGCGGGCATGGCTTTCATCTCGACTAAATGCCAGGACACGGTGCTCCGGCAAGTGCGTCACTGGCGTTTTAACACTCAATTAACGTGCAGCAGATGTGTCGCCAAGGGGTGTCCGCTATTAGTTGCAATTAAATCATCATTAGCGGGCCGTCTAATGAAGCGACGACTGCGCCACGCTTGCTGTTTGAGGAACGTTTTTGAAACGTGTTTTCGGCAAACATGTGTCCACATCACAAGACCCATCGTACAATTTCGTCTCCATTCACTAAGCGATTTATGATATCTTATACACAGGCAACAACGAGTAAAACTATACAGGAAGCTCCGCTGGCGGCTGGTCACTACTTCTGCTTGAGCAGCAGATGACCCTTGGGCTTCAGTTTGTTTTGGATGATGCGTTGCTTCTCGGCTGCAGCCTCCGCCTTAAGACGTTGATGTCGCTGCTTAGCAAACTCCAGCTCCCCACTAAGCTCCACGATCTTGGAGGCTATCTCTTGCTGCTTTAGCAGGCGTCTTTTCTGGTTGGACTACAATTTGTGTTAAACGTAAGTTCATAGGTTATTCGGGGTAACACTTACACCCAGGGGCGTAGTCCTGCCGTCAAGGAACGTGTAATCAGGCATGTTGGTGAGGGGTCCAAAAGCATTTGGGTTTTCCGGTAATCCCTTGTCTGCACGCCATTTCTGATTGATGCAGCGTGCGGCTGTTACAGCGATATTACGCTGTGCTAGATTAGTCAAAATAGTGTAAATGAATTAAGGCAACATTAAAATAAAATGCGGCACTCACCTGTTACGGAGGCACTGCTGGCCAGGCAGAGTTTCGTTATTTTCAGCATTATTTATTAAAACTCTCAATTAAATTCACATAACCAAAACAGCTGACGGCGGCAGTATGACCGTGCTCGGCCCCTCGTGAAATGCCTAAAATTACAGCTACAGACATAACCCCATTGCAGAGCCAGAGCGAGGTTGAACTTTTATTGGGGATTTGTAAGGAAAAAAGTTAACTGCTCAGTTGGCAGGACACTAAAATTGACACAAGGCAGAAAAACGAAGCTGAGCATGGCGCCCCCGGCCACCGTCCTCCAGATGCTGCGCAGCCTGAGCACGCCGCGAGTCCTCACAACCATCCATTACCACGGTGCATTGGGTAATCATCACCTGCAGCAGCGCCGTTCAATATCCACTTCGCCGTCAATTCCTTCACCGCTTTTCTCCCTGTCTCCGTTTCTCCACACAGCCCGCAGCTATAGCTCGGGCACTAAGCAGGAAGCCGCTTCAGCTGGCGGAGAAGCAGCAGCAGCAGGAGCAGCAGCATCTCACGGACCGACAGTGAATGCCAATGCCCCGCTGCTGGCCAAGTTGTTTCCACAGACCTCTCCAGAGGTGGACCGCGGTGGAGAGGAGGAGCGCAAGAAGCGCGATGAGGAGGAAGCCAAGGAGAATGAGCGCGCTTGGAAGCGCATGAAGTTGGGCTTCGCAATCTTTGGCGGCGGAGGTTTGGCCACTGCCCTATGGGCCGTCTACGAGTTTGGCAAGCCCCAGGTGGACGAAAATGGCCAGGTCATCGAGGATGAGTTAATGGACAAGCCACTGGTGCAACAGTACATACAGCGCATGTGGAAGAGCATGTACTATTACCAGAAAATGATCCAGGAACCGTCGCGGGACAAGCTTCTGCCAGATCCGCTCAAGCCACCCTATATCCAGCCGCGCTATACGCTTGTCCTGGAGATGAAGGACGTCCTAGTGCATCCGGACTGGACATACCACACAGGCTGGCGGTTCAAGAAGCGACCCGGTGTTGATCACTTCCTGGCCGAGTGCGCCAAGGAGTTTGAAATCGTTGTCTTCACCGCCGAACAGGGCATGACCGTGTTTCCCATACTTGATGCCTTGGATCCGAACGGATACATCATGTACCGCCTGGTCAGGGATGCCACGCACTTTGTGGACGGCCATCATGTTAAAAACCTGGACAACCTGAACCGGGACTTGAGCAAGGTGATTGTCATTGACTGGGATGCGAATGCTACCAAAATGCATCCGGATAACACATTCGGCATTGCCCGCTGGCACGGCAACGACGACGACGGCCAATTGCTGGACCTCGTTTCCTTCCTCAAGCTAATTGCCCAGAGCAATGTGGACGATGTGCGTGAAGTGCTGCACTACTACCGCCAATTTGACGACCCCATTAGCCAGTTCAGGGAGAATCAGCGCAAGTTGGCCGAGCAAATGGAGGAGGCGGAACGCATCGAGCAGACCAAGGCCAAGCCCATGGTCAAACAATGGTCGCGCAACATTCTGGGTCGTTAGATGCACCAGCCAGCCCGAGACACCATTCTTCTGCCATATATATATTTGTTTTCTTAAAAAATAGAAGGATGCTTAAATACCAAAAGTGTTGTTTCTTTTAAATTCAACCACAAAGCTTACAGCTTGCTTGTTTTTGTTTATTTAGCTTTCAGTGTGACCGTTTGGGGAAAACACTTAAAAAACACATGTGTTTCGCTTTATGTGGTATTTTCATTTAAAAGGTGTATCTGTGTCAAGTGATAGTGAAAAAATTAATTAACAAAATAATTTAAAGTGAATTCGCAAAACCTGAATCAAATAATGGCCACCAAGACGAACACAGTGGAGCGCACCGCTAACGGAGCTGCCAAGTCATCTAGCCTGCGAGAAATTTGCGCGCGCGCCATCACAAAATCGGAGTGGGAGGACAAGGTGAGCAAAGTTCCGGTGGTCGTAAAACGACATCATGCTAATCCTTTCCATACGCGCAGGAGGAGTTTCTGGACGTCATATACTGGTCCCGCCAGGTGTTTGGCATTATCCTGGGCGTAATCTGGGGCGTTGTGCCGCTGAAAGGCTTCCTGGGCCTCGTACTGTAAGTAGCTATCTCTAACCTATAAATAGCCACTGCCACTCCAACGTCCCTTTGCTCTGTCCCACAGTTTTGCCGGCATCAGTTGCGGTATTGTGTATCTGTACGCCATCAACTTCCAGAATGTGGACGAGGACGCCTACGGCGGGGTTTGGGAGCTGGTGAAGGAGGGCTTTATGACCTCGTTTGCGGGTTTCCTGGTGACGTGGATCATCTTCTATACGGGGCTGCACTACGACACAATAATGGCGGCGAAGGCCTCGTAATACTCGCCAGATGCCGCCACCGCAGCATCCAAGCAATAACCGATTCCAGAACCAGATCCTAATCCCCAGTTTCCCGCAGGTCTAATTGCGAAGCCAAATAAGATAACCGCTCCTCCTGTTTTGTCCCCTTTAAACTCGGTGTAAATTGTTAAACTTTTAGCTAATTATGGTCATGTACATGCATTTCTAAGATGGCCATCGACAACGCCAGATCTTTCCGTGAAAGGTCCCAGCCAGCGGCCTAGTTGAGAACAAAAGATACTTTATATTTGTGTATGTCTAGAATGCAGAATACGATGAAACAACTTGTTACGGCGTTTTATTATAAAATATTGGTCTACGGTTATAAGGTAGCTGACAGATGAGCGGTATCCTAGTACTCCATGGCCACTGCCACGGATCCGGAGCCGTTGTGGGTGGCTCCATTCTGCCCCACCTCCTGTTCGTGTTGGAACTTCTCCGGTAGCTGGCCGCTCTGCAGGATCTGCGATAGGCGCTCGACCTCCGCCAGCGAGCTGGCACGCTTGATCGCCTCGCGGATACGCTGCATGTCCTCTGGATTGGCCAAACGGCCGCCATCCGACCCTCTGCCCTTTCCGTTGCTCGCCTCTGCAGCCAGGGCTGCGGCGGCGCTTAGCTTTGACTTTCGGCTGACCTCCTTCAGCATGTCCTTGCCCTGCTTAGTGCGGAAAAACTCTTGGGCCGCCGCCCGGTCCTTCTGCTTGATTTTCCGGAAGTCGAGTAGCCGCAACTGTGGGAACTTGTAGGCCATGTACTCGCGGTAGTTGGGTTTTGTGGAAACCGGATTGATGAGCAGGCAGATGGTCTCAAGCTTGGCGAACGCCGCCAGCGGCTCTAGGTCGCTCAGCTCTTGGAGGTTGTTGCCCGTCAGGATGATAGAACTCAGGTTGGGTACGACCTCCTCCAGGCCCTCGCTGATACGCAGAATGCGGTTGTTGTTCAGCAGCAGGCACTTGAGGCGCGGCAGATGCGGCAGGTTGTCCAGCTTGCGGAGATCGTTGTCAGACAGATCGATCGTGTCGAACTGATCCAGTGTGGCGCCTAGGTTCTCTATCTGTGGAATCTTGTAGCCGCGCAAATCCAGCTCGCGCTCACGGCACGGGTTTATGTACTGCATCGACTGGTTAATCAACTCCGGCGTTAGCTTCACCATTGTGACAGAGTGTGAGTACGGTCGTGCGGCCGAAGGAGGCTTTTTTATTCGCTCTTTTCGTTTATTTTTCTAAAATTTAGAAAAACGAAACAATTTACAGACGCGAGTGAAGAAAGTGTAACCGCATCTGAACCGGTAAAAAATACCATTGCTTAAATGGTCTGGTCACATCAACGAATTAACGTGTTAAACAACGTAACGTAATATTTTAACGTGAGGAATGTAAAATGTTCGCTTGTAAAAATATTGTTTTTATACATATGTTGTTGTTCGCAAAAAACAAGGGCTCATTATGCCTTTTATCAGTGTAAAATCATCAAATGCTAATTTTCATGCACCAGGAGCGCAGAAGGACCAAGTTTAAAATGCAGCCCAAAAATATGCTTCACTAAACTGAACACATGTACCCAAAAGTATGCTACGTAAAAGTATAGTTCATAAGAACTACTCATAGATGGCTCATAAGTATTAACTCATGTATTTCTCACTTTCACCTTTCACTCCTCTACCAAAAACGTCTCAAACGGATCGTCCTGTCGTGCTTTATGTTCGCCTGATACACGAAATCTTAGAAGAGACAATTAGTTATACTTATTTGAGACAGTTTAGACTGCAAAGTTGTTATACCTTATAGCTGCAGCTGAAAAAAACACAGCATTATTATTATCGTTTTCCGTTTAATTTGAATTTCAATAGATTACAATGAAGTTTTAATTGCTTAACTTTAATGAACACGTTAAGTTTTTTCGTATTTCTGAAATTGAATGGGAATCGGGTAACACTCAAAACCTGAAGTGTGTGTGGTCGGTGGTGGAGGACTGGGTTAAACGCTTCTCGCAAAATTTCCTGTGTCGTTGGTGCAAACTACTTGATCTTCAAAATTGAAATCGATCGATTCGCGATTATAGTAATTATTTACTTGTCTTATCAGTTTACAGGTTTGGTGTTCTGCTGTTTATTTTTATTTTTTAAATGCATTCAGTAATTTGTTTATTTGTTGGTATCCATCCGTCGCCTGGCCTAGTTTCTTAGCGTAAATTGTTAACTTTTTAGAAAATAATCAATAATATCGCCCATCTCCGTTTCGTTTTAAATAAATGCATTCGTTTCTGGCGGCATATTGCGCTCGAAAATTTGAAAACGGATTGTCGTTTGAATACTATAAGTAAGTTGTGTTTATAGGTAAGGTAAATAAAAATCAAGAAATAATAATTGATAAAGTTTTTGTATTTGGAAGCAGTTATAAAAAATATTGTTTTTCACTTAGATTTGTTTAAAGATTTCTTTAGGTTATATGCATTTAAAATAGTTCTTAATTACGCACGCAATCGATTTACATAATATGTATATATAGATAGTATCATTTCATTGCGTTATCTTCGTTAGTTTTCATTAGAAATTGTTGTTTAGCATGCGCTAAAAATAGACTTCTGGTTGTATGTATGTATATAATTGGCACTTAACTCATTTAAAATACATAAAAATATAAAATATAGTACACACAAAACATCTTTATAAATATGCAAAGGTTAATTTGGATAAAAGTATCAATAAATAATCACGTTCATTTTAAATTGCCAAATAAAAACAATACACACGCGCGCCATTGCACATAAATTAATGTTTCAGTACGAATAAGTTGCAACCTCGTTTTCCATCTATCTCCGTCTCCATCACCATCTTATCATCATAATCGCATCGCTGAAACTACTCATCCCCCCTACGATCGATCTCGTCACAGGATGGGACTGTGACAGGTTGGGCGGCGGGCTGAGGGGCCGGATGTGAGGGAATGTTGAACATATAACACTAGAAACACTTATAAATCAACGACATCCTCCTTGGTGTAGGCCGAGTCTCTAAACATGCGTCTGGTCGCAATGCTCTGCTGCAGTTCTTCAACTAATGTCTCCTGTGGGGAAGCGGGAAAGTGATTCCACATTATTAGTCGATTCAACGATAACACAGTCTTTCAACGGGCAGCTACGGATACTAGATGAATTACAGGCAACATGCTTCTTACTGGCTAGCGGACACAACTTAACGACTACACACACACACACACACTAAGCAACAAATGCGGATGTTAGACGCACAGGATGAGCACCGAAATCAACGAAGCAACGTCGCCACCAAATTTTGAGCGATGATCAATGCAGGAAGCTGTCGTAATGCAGCTTCAGCTTCAGCTCCAGCCTCGGAGAATTTCAAACCTCGAATACTGTGGATATCTCCTTGCCGGCTATCCGCTTAACGCCGCCGCTATCCGCGCAACTGCCAGACTTGGCACCCAACTGGCCGTTGCGCATGCTTAGGATCTCGTTGCTGATCAAACTCGCACAGGCCATGGCATGCCGCTGCTCTTGGCTACTGGAAGAGCTGCTACTGATGCTGCTCTGCTCCGTAATGGTCTCGCTGCTGCCACCAGAGCTGTTCGTCGAGCTCACGATCCTCGATCGCGTCTGGCTCTGGTTTAATACTGTGGTAGATGATGTGCTGGTTGTCGTGGATGCAGTGACTGGCCCTCCGTTGGAGGAGCCCGTGGATGAGGTGCTTGTGCGCGCACTGGCTGCGTTCAGGAGGGTTCTGGGCATAACGGGCGGTTTGAGGGGGAGTTCTTTTACAAGTAACGAGGAGTACAACAAATCAATCAAAATATGAAAATAAATAAGATACAAAACGAAATAAATCAAAACTACTGCTAATAAGGGTATCAAGTGACACGGCAGGCAGGCATCTTCAACAATAATTATACGTGCGTATGCGGAGGAATCTACACTTACCCAATCTGTTGAGTCCCGCTGCCAGTTCTCGCACGGATTTCTTCTCCAGGGCAGCTCCTAATAGGTTTAAATAAATCACCAAGCTTTTGAAGCAGTGGAAGAGGTGTCACTCACCAGGTGTAATGCCTACAATGCTGCCACCGCCTCCGCCACCTCCTATGGCAATGCCCGGCGTAATGCCTACAATAGAGCCACCGCTACTAGCGCCAAAGGTCACGATCTCGACATCATCTAAGCGGGGAAAAGGAATTTAGTGAATTATAGAACCAATAATGTTTTAACCTCCACTGACCTTCTTCAAGTTTGTCAGGCGTTGTCTTGTTGGAGTCTGCGTTGCCATTGCCATTGCTGTTGCCTGTAATCAGCTCTCCGCTCTTCGGCTCGCTGCCCACCACTGACCACGGTCGGGGTTTCTGTAGCACAATTGGCGTTCGCAAGATACCGTTTCCGGTCTTCACAATCACGCTACCCTCGCCGGTGGCATGGCTTTTGATCGAGTCGCTACTGGGCGAGCGCATTTTATCCTCACGACCGGTAGCTTTTAGGAGATTGGAGTTCGCTGTCTCCTCTGCTCCGGCTCCAGCTGCTCCTGAACCTGGCCCACCCTCAGTGCGCATCTTCACCAACGGCGATTTGCGGCCCACTAAAGGCGAATACTTTTCCAGGTTGTCAGTGGAACGGGAGCGGGTAGCCCAGGAGGCACCTAAACCATTAAAAAAGAACACTTTATTAGTATTTCTTTTAAAATTAATTTTATCTTTCACTTACTTTTGAGCAGCGGAGACTGGCGTTCCAATTTGATTGGCCGGCGTTCCTCCAGAATAGGTGTCGTCTCCTCGGAGGTCATGTGGCCGTTGCCATCGCGGCTCATCGTGGGACTGTCCACAAAGGACAGAGAGCTGCACTCCTCCGACGTGGGCGAAACGAGAGGTGTGAGGGTGGTGGGCGTCACCGAGCCTGGCCGAAAGAAGTGCTCGAGCCCCTCGCCGATCTCACGGCTGCCTCCGGCACTGCACTCGGCACTGACCAGAGGTCTGGTGGGAGCCCGCGTCTTTGCCCGCTTCGGTCGTCCCTTGACCAAATGCTGCAGCTGAAAAGAGGCGCTGGGCAGCTCGGTTATGGAGTCACAGCATTCGTCTACGCCACCATCATCCATCACCGCAAGACTGTCAGTCATGTTGGAGGCGGCTGCCACGGCAGCGGCTCCGGCAGCCCCGCGGGCAGACAACTGGGAGGTGGAGCGATGTGAAGAGGGCGACTCCAGGAGATCGGGGAAGTGGCCCAGGCTGAGATTCTCCACCACGGACTGGGGACGCACCTTCTTAGCAAGGCTGCGCCGTTTGGTGGG